CCACCCTCGGCCCTTGTATCATGCACAAGCGCTGCCTGCGGGCCAACTTTCCACCAACAGAAGCATTTGCGACTTTTCCGACGTGTCCGCTCGCAGCAGCAGTGTTTTTAGCCTCCCCCTCTCGTCCCACTCTCCCGACCACTTCATTACTGCAGCAGCAGGCTATTCGCACATACACACACTTACTCTTCTCGCATTTTACTTACTTTTATGTGCTTGGGTTGAAAACGTCTCCACATCCAGCCGGTTCTCAACACCCGCCACGCATATAGGTGTGTGTGTGCTAAATTTTGCATATTGTATACAATGTGAGCTCCGTTTCTACGTTTGCATATATATATATATTTATGGTCTGCTGTTTGCCCGCCCCATCCTCCCGCCCTGGCAGACGCTGGCGATTGGACAATAACACTCAGTACTGATCTTTTTATTGTCTTTATTCTTTTCCAACAAGGTAATTACTTTCGACATCCTCGGCCTTTCTGTTCCATCTGTGCATTTCACCGCGCTTGAGGATGGCTCTTCTCTCCACACACACACTGGGCGGGGTCTGAAACGCTCAGCCGCAGAGCGCGGCGGCTCGTCGTAAAAATCGTGTCGTTTGCGGGGTTTTATTGCTAGCCATACATCCTCCTGCCCTCAGCGGAGAAGTCGACCAAATATTGAGATGTTTTGGTGCGGTTGCCCTAATCGTCAGCAAATATTCTTGGTTTGTGTGTGTCAGCCGCCGCAAACTTGAATAAGCAAGGTCTGCACGTTATGTGATCTTCAGGTGTACGCGCGAATTGACCTGACAGAACGTCCCACGCGGGTTTGAGTCTGGCCAAGTTTATTTGCAACCGGGCCCCTGAAATAACTATTTCTTTACGTTGCTTAGCGTATTTGTTATATAGGTGACTGCTTATAGCAGTCTGACTTCCATGTTAGGGTTCTTCAGTCTGTAGGCGAAAATCGTCAGTTGCCTTGGCGGAATTTTGTTAAATTAACTGATACTGAACAGAAGGTCTGAAATTACCACTCCAGTCCCTCTCGTCATTGCCTGCACCTTAACTTGATTATGTAAGTAATTTCTCTGTGCTACTCAGGAAAGGAGGGATCGCAATCTATTCTTAAGTTCTAGAACAGTCTTTGGGTTTGCGGGGAACAACTCTACTAAGCACCTCTAGTATACGCGTTAACGTTTTGAAAGACCCTAACGTGGAAGAGTTCCTTCTTTGTGGAAACAGACATGCGGCAGGGACCTCAGCATCAAAAGCGCTGGTCGTCAGATTTCCGGACATTTTTTTCTCGAGCAGTTTGGTTCTACCACAGAACGAACCGTTAATCTGTATATATCGAACGTATTATACCGTACTCCTGACATGGGTGCTAACTAGACGCTCAGACACGTGTTTCGCCGATCTTCTGTCGCTGCGTTACAGCTGCGAGGGGCTTGGCTTATCAGTGGGTCCCCCAGCGTTCCCTATGTGGTTTCTGGTATATGAACTCCAGAGAACAATCATACTACTTGTAGTACTAGTTTGTAGGATGGGTATTCCGTGGTTATTCCACAGTAGTCGATTGTCTTCGACTCAAATGTTCATTGAGATTTCGGTTCTGACTTCAAAAGTCATGTCCCGGAGACTTAATTCCATGTCCTGCACTGAGTAATTCCTGAAATTATTAACTTGATAATTCCCTGGAGTTCATCTATCAGAAACCGCATAGGGAACGCCGGGGGACCCACTGATGAGCCCGGCCTCTCGTTGCTATGTCACGCAGCGGCAGAATATAGGCGAAACACGTGTCTGGGCTTAAGTTAGTACCTATGTCGGGAGCACAGTATAATACGTTAGATATATGCATTTCATACTACTCGTAGTACTACCCGTTTGTAGGATGGGTATTCCGTGGTTATTCTACAGTAGTCGATTGTCTTCGATTCAAATGTTCATTGAAATTCCGGTTCTGACCCTAAAAAGTAATATCCGTGAGTAATTTCTGGAATTATTCACTTGAAACGTCTAACTAGATCCGTTAGCACTCACTCAGTAGTTCTAGTGCGGTGTTAGTTCCTCCAGTGGAGTAGACACCTACGTCAGACGTCATGTCGGTAGGCAGGATTGTTTGTGTGACTATCAATAAGGGAATAACATCAGCAGAGCATGATTCGATTAGCTGAAAGGGGTAAGAACTGGATAACAAATAAACACTCCGTGTGATTTGGCTAACACATAAACGTGGTGGTCTGAGAATGAAATAGGCCAATCAAAATGTCTAACCACAGGCAAAAAGACAAAGATAAGCAATCAGAAAACCGCCCGACTTCAGCGTCAGCTCACAAATAAGTGATCATCTCTTCAGTCCAGATCTCGAGTCCGCTGCCCAAAAGTGTCCACCATGGACTGTGGAGAAGGAACTGGGCAGTGTGGGAGTGGCAAGCATGTTCGCGGAGATCCACTCGAGACAGTGCGTTGCAAAAGGGCGTTAGTGCAACATTAACAGGGACGGGATGTCATGCCTTCCATACAGACACAACTTTGAAAATTCCCCATACCTGTTCCACCTTGAAAACTCGTAGGCCCAAGCCAAGGTCCCTCTAAGAGTTCCCCGGCTCTGTTGACTGTACCGTATATTTTCCTAATTCTGGGAAATACATTGAAAGCTTCCTAAATTTGGGCGCGCTTGACCTGTGT